ATGGACAAAGATAAAAATAGATAAAACCAAACATATAATACTAGCTACTAACTCCTTAAGATCTACTATCCAAAAGAATTTATCCAATCTTAAGAATATCAAAAATAAATATAACCACATCCAAAACTATTATGGATATGCTCAGAACCAAAATTCATAATACTGAATCTGGTCAAAAATTCATAATTCTGAATCATATATATATATATATATATATATATATATATATATATATATATATATATATATATATATATATATATATATATATATAAACTATCACAACTGTTCCTTACAATATACTTACTTGTACTTATTGCGGAAGTTACCAGGAAACGATTGATCTGGCTCCGATAAAACGAATTTGCCGCATCCCAAACGAAAGGCGACCAAGCGTAGCGGAGGACGTATTCATTTGGGTGAGCAAATGATTAGTAGGCGTTGTAGTAGGAATTTGGATTCACAAGCGGTGCCCAGCCGCATACATACACACTTTAGGATAGGGCGATCCGAACGAATCCTGCGCAACTTAGCCTGACAAAACCCAAGCCTCTCAAATTGGTTTCCTCTTCGAAACAGGTTGCCAACCAACGCTTTATGACCCAGTCTACCCTGCTATTTTATCCATAGCCTGGAGGTAGATAGAAGAGATGTATCCGTACCTTCCCCAAGGGTATTAGCTCGTAAGGGAATATAATGACTCGACTGGAATTCGAATTGGAAATTTCAAAGTGGTCCAATGGTTAACGAGCTTATATTTGCATATAGATATATTTTATATATTTACTCTGAGAGACGAGGTAATGAAATGTTTGCTCAGTTGATAAAAGCTGGTATCCCTGGTTCATGCCTTGTCTTGAAGTTTGGGATAAAGCTGTGTACACACCCCATGCTCTATGACCTTGAAAATGCCATGAATTCTAAACCCACCGCGTCTAGTACATTTATGTACTTGTAAAATCCATAAACCCAACATGTACAGATATTATTATTGTTAACATTATTAATACGAATGATGTACATAGATATGTCTACATAGATGAGTGTGAGTGTGGTGTCTTCCATGGACTTCTCATATATATATATATATATATATATATATATATATATATATATATATATATATATATATTTTTTTTACGTTATTTTTTACGGATACAACTTACTTGAGTAAATACTCTGTTTTTAATTAAACAGTATTAATTACATTTACTGTGCTGAATGCTCGAGAAATTTCGTAGAAGATATGAGTTCGCCGACAAGAATCGAACCTGTATCCTATACGGAAACTGTCATTAGGCCTGCTTATCAGCAGACGATTTGAACTTTGCGAAGGGCAAGTTCTCTGTGGCTGAAGGGTTAAACAGCACATCGGGCCAAATGACGATTTCCATTTAGGAATACAGGTTCGAATCCTGTCGGCGAATGCATATTTTCTACGAAATTTCAATGAATGTAAATTAATACCTTTTAATTAAAGACAGAACATTTATTTAAATAAGTTGTATCCATAAAAATAACGTATAAACAGAAATATACTAAAAATATTTGTTGGATTTAATCCATTTCATATATATATATATATATATATATATATATATATATATAAGTAATTAATGTATTTAGTAGTCCGACATTATTTCTTATTACTATAAAAGTTATATTTAAAGGCTACACATGAGGTGAGTAGACATCCTTGCTATTTTTAAACAGTGGAATTAATATCTACTGGCCTAGATAGCAAAAGTCTTATTAAAGAAAACGTGTTTACCGGCATAATTCGAACAGCTTAATGCTAAAAACAGAAGCACGCTTGCTCTAAAGCGAGATTCTCCAGATTCTTATCGGCAATCACGGTTTCTTTAATAAGACTTTCAATCACTAGGCCGGTAGATAATAATTTCACTGTTTAAAAAGAAAAAACAGAGACGTCCACTTAAACACGTGTACCCACTCAATATAACACTTATCGTAATAATATATATATATATATATATATATATATATATATATATATATATATACTCATATATGTATAGTTATTCTAACTAAGTGGTTGTGATCTGCCAGATGAAAATAATAAACACGGCTGTTGGACAGGTTTTAAATCATGATAATTTTATCAGAAAGCCATTTTCCAAGATTAAGATCTTTGTTAGCTCAAGCTTATAGATCTATTAGTCCAGGTGAGTAAGTACACCGGCAATAAAGTGCCGTGAAAACTTATAAGACACTTCTAAGATTACCCTAGTATTACCCAGAACATTGGCATGGTAACTTTTGCATCAACATACATACACGCACACACACGTTTAGTTAATAACGCACACACATATATATAATAATTTTTAAGAAATAAATGGACTGTCTAGAAATAACAACAAAAAAACTTCTTGACCCACTTATTGTACACATACATTCTCATGTCCTACGAATTGCTAGAATCGCAGATAAATAAAGTCAAAACTTTTTGACTGATTATTATTATAATTAAAACCTCAAGAACCATGAATAGAAACGTTGATAAAAGAAAAAAAATGACCCACTTATTGTACACCTACAATCGCAACTACCACGAATTGATTGAAACGTTTATAAACAAAACAAAGAATTTTGACCCACCTATTGGACATCTACAATCTCAAATACCATGAATTGATAGAAATATTGATGGACAAAGCAAAAACTTTGTGGCCCACTTATTGTACACCTACAATCTCAAATACCATGAACTGATAGAAACATTAATAAACAAAAAATCTTTCTGATCTACTTATTGCAAACCTACCATGAATTTATACAATTAAAAAGTTTTCATGAAAATTATGAATTATGATCAGAACGAAATAAAACTTGTCATCTGGAGATCCAACTACAGCAGTTATGCACAAACATATATATATATATATATATATATATATCCTTCACCGTATGCACGACTCATGCCAAACGCAATCTTCAGGTGCTGAGTGTGGATAGATATATGTACCTGTGTGTCTGTGTGTGTGTTGATAGAGAAGCACATATTTAGATTGTAATGAATAACACTTATTTTCATAAAATATTTTGATGATTTTTTTAATAAACGTATTTAAAAGCCGGTTAACCACGAGGCGAAATACATATGTATATACGCTTACACACAACTTGTATAAAATTATCTTATATATATATATATATATATATATATATATATATATATATATATATATATATATATATAAAATATATGGATATAGATCCGACAGTATGAAGAAAATATACAGAAAAAACAAACAAAAATCTTAATATGCAATTATATATATATATTATATATATATATTATATATATGTTCTAATGTTAATTATGTTTTATGAATATGTCCTGATGATGGTCTAAAATAGACCGAAACGTCCGACGTTGACATTATATTAACATTAATACAGCATAATTGCATATTAAGATTTGTGTGTTTTTTCTGTATATTTTCTTATATATATATATATATTATAATAAATATTTTTCTATATATATATATATATATATTATAATAAAAGAAAGATGAGTAAGACATATAATCCGGTGTTCTTATTGATATTTTTATTTTTACAAAATAGTGCTTAATATAAATTTACAGAGCATAAATATGATAAATTAACTGATTTAAAAGAGTTAAAATTAACTGATTTAAAATTAACTGATTTAAAATTAACTGATTAACTGTGTAGCCAAGAAACCATATTTTAAAATCAGTTTGTATATATATATATATATATATATATATATATATATATATATATATATATATATATATGTATATATATATATATATATATATATATATATATATATGTAGGATCCCTCTTGTGCGTGTGATTTGCTAGCCCCACAGCTTCGTGTGCGCCTAAAAGAATATTTGAATATTGCGGCCATTTGTAAATATAAACAAAGATTTTCAGCCAGAAATCGACACTTGATGTACAAACTGAAACTGTACACTAATCTGCCATCAGCGCACTTCTGATGATGTCAGGGCTTCCCCGAGGCGTCGCTCAAATAATGCCGGTTGCACCATCCACAAAAGAGACAAGTTGTCCTGCTGCTTAGTAGACACCCTTGTGCAAATTAATTGAAACCAAACGAATAATTCCGTTATTATTTACTTTTTTTTCGTATTTTTCCAATGAAACATGACCCAGTGCACATGTTAGTACTACGTATATCCATTCTACGAAGTTGTTCCTTGCAGATTGGATTAAAATCAGGAGACTTTCCAAGCCAGTTGATAGTACTTTCATTTTCTCACTGGTAAGGCTGGTGTTTAACGTGGGGTTTTCCAAGCGCTTACGCGCTGGCAAAAATCCCCCGTAGACCCGCATACACGGGTTCGAGCAGCTGTCTACCTCCCCAGACGAGACTCTGCCCGGAAAATAGGCTTGTCTGGGTTCCTCTCTGCTCGAAGGCAGAGAGATCGACTTGCAGATCTTTGACGATCTCTAATCGCTAACTCATCTCACTCAGTAAGAAAGAGTACCGTTTAAATAGTTTTAGATCAGTCCATCTTGTGGTGGTGTTCAGCTACTCCACAACATAACATTATGAGGTTCTAATTAAAAAAAATTATTATGATTCGGTATTTATTTAACAAAGGACGGGAGATATTTAAAATAAATTTCTATTCCAAACTCAAGGAAAATTTCCTTTATTCATACAATTTATGCCACGCCGATTCCGCCGTAAGCTGATTTAATGTAAGCTTAATTTATTCGTTGTGACACGAAAAATATTCCTGTTGTCTTCCCCAGGCTCCTAAAATTTGCTGCCAGTCAAGACTAGAGATACCCCCCACCCTTACCTTGGTATTGAGTGCATAACTGTTTGATTAATACCTTCAGAAAAAGAATGAAAATGAACGCCACAGATGAGTCCAAAATTTCATCTCACCTCGCCGATTTCGTTTTCGGCATTGGTGACCGTAATGCTGACAACAAATTTCACATCCACACGCACAGACACACACACAGATAGATAGATAGATAGATAGATAGATAGATAGATAGATAGATAGATAGATAGATATGATAGGAAAAGGAACAAATAGGAAACAGATCTTAATTTAAAAAATTGATTAAAATCAAAGAGACGCAGTTTAATGGAATGTTGTGTTTGGCTATTTCTTATTGGCTAGATACGTGTCACGTGTATTGAAGTAACGGATAATTTTTACATATGAGTGGCAAATATTCTCAACGCTAAACTTTGTAAAAGTTATCAAGATGCAGTTTGATGTTTTGATTGGTACGTGTCACGTGTAAAGAAGTAACAGATAATATTTAAATAAATGTAAGAAAACATTCTGTATGTTAAAGTAAGTAAAACTTAGTGAAACGTCGCCGGATATATATATATATATATATATATATATATATATATATATATATATATATATATATATATATATATATATATATTTACTGTGTCTGTGTGTAGATTAATTTATGAAAAATATTTATACTTATAGATAATATATATAGGGTATATTTTGTGTAAGCATATATATATATATATATATATATATATATATATATATATATACACACACACATATATATATACATGTATATATATATATATATATATATACTGTGTCTGTGTGTGTAGATTGATTTATAAAAATATTTATACTTATAGATAATATATGTGGGGTATATTGTGTGTAAACATATATATATATATATATATATATATATATATATATATATATATATATATATATATATATATATATATATATATATATTTTGAACTGTTGGTTAACTGTCATCTCTCAACAACGTAGTCTAGACTATTGCAAATAAATATTTAGAAATTCATAGCAAAATAACTGTCATATTTTTTATACATATGTAATCTCCGTTGAAAAAAAAAACAAAAATAATTCTATATCAAATTCTTCTCCTTGATAAAAAATAAATTATTCAACTTTAAAATCTACTTCAGTAATCTTTTTCTTTCTTTAATTTTAATTTGGCCCAAGTCAACACGATTGGGGAAGAAATAATGACTTTTATGCAGTTACAGAACAAAAATATTTTCTATTTATATTTTTAGCAAATGCATTTTTTAAAATCAATTTTATACCAGCTGTTTGTGAGATTATTTGAAATCGTAAATTTTCCAATAGATGTTGATTTCATTCGATCGTATCCTCAGAGAAATTGATAATATTTTGCCCCAATAATTAATTTTATTTATAATTTTAAACCGATGAAATTCAGTCCACTTAAAACATTTTGTTGCTCTTTCTGGAATGAGAAGTTAGTACCATTTACATTAATTGCACGCCGACTATTGGCCACATCTTTGTTACTTTTAATACATTACGATTCCTGGGTTTGACGATAAACTGCATCTAGCAGCAAGGCCTCTGATCGCGTGATTGGAGGCTTTGACGGGTGTGGAATGATATTCTAATTGCTGTTGTCCCCGAGTCCATCCTGACCAAGGATGGTAGCACCTTTTATGGTCTCAGTTATAGAAAATAGTACCCCCCCACAAACACACAAAAAAAACGAAATACTATGAAAGTATAAAAATACCAGCAATACATTTTATAACTATTTATAGAGAGGTACCAACAATACGTTTTATCTATAGTTGAAGTTATGCAATTAAATACCCCATAGAGGTATTGATATGCCGCTAAACAAAATCAGCCAACCAATAAGGTTACGGATGCTGCGCTCCCCTCCCCCGCCGGCCTTTATCAGGTGCTTTATTTAATCTATGTGAGTAGACTGTTCTCGTTTCGCTGCTCATGTCTCGGGATATCTCGTTTCGTTCTTATTTAGTGTTGCTCAGTTATTGCTCGCTAGGATCTCGTGAGAAAAGAGCCTAGCGGATCAAATGTTGTTTGGGGAATTCGGTGACAGGAATTGTGAGTTCAATCCCTGGGCTGGGCAGCATGTACTTAGACTTTGTTAAAACAGGTCGAGCAATAACTGAGCAGTACTGAAAATAAGAACAAGACAAGATATCCCAGACATGGGCAGTCGAACGAGAACGCTATATCCATGATGATTTGAATAAAGGGTTCGGTTCTAAATTCCTGGAAGTTAGCCTCTGGTGAAGGCTAGGGCACAACCGGCGAAACATTTTCATAACAACGACAAAGATGGGGCAGGTATTATGGCTTGTACTCGACTGAGTTATTTAGGTCTTTACGTTGAATTAAAATACGGAAAGACTCAGAATTCTTACTATAAATGTTCACTTCATTATGCTGTCTCAAGTATGTATATATATATATATATATATATATATATCCACAAAGAAATATAGTCTTAAGGTGTGCTATATTTATGGAATAAAGTGCTCAATATCAGAGATAGAGCGTGTACAAATATAAAAGTGAACATAGAAGTCAACACTTGAGGCGATATATATATATATATATATATATATATATATATATATATATATATATATATATATATATATATATATATATATAAAAAAAACAGACCACTTTAAGGTTCCATGTAATAGATTATTTCACCACAGCCCTTTTAAAGGACTGCGAATCATCGACTTTACTTCCAAAGGTTGAAACGAAAAAATGAAAAGTGAAATAATTTATTACATGGGACCTTAAAGTGGTCTGCTTTTATTCAAATTATTTGCTCTGGATTTACATCGAGCTCTCTGAATTTTATCCTCCTTGGGTCTACCCATACGGATTACCTAGTTTTTCATAAATTATATATATATATATATATATATATATATATATATAGAAGAGAAAAACCGTAAACGTTTTTGGTTGTAATGTGGATTTTTTAGAAAAATATATTTTGCTTTATTTTTCATAATTTTGCTACACGTGTTTCCGGTTTTGCAACCTTCATCAGGCAAAGCGTGGAGATTTCTACATATTATTATCTTATGTTTTTCGATATTAAATATTCTCGATATGAGACATTTTCTTTTTTATGTGTTAGTGAGTCAAATGCCTTTCTTGAACTGGCAGTGAAAAAGTTCTGCGTGAGGGTTATAAAACAATTCAGATTGGTCCGTGAAATGGAGAAGGAGTTATCGGCATTCTTATCTTTTATATATATCGGCAATCTTATCTGATATATATATATATATATATATATATATATATATATATATATCAGATAAGATTGCCGATATATATAAATAATAAGATATATAAGATATATATATTTAGTTGGATTGGTGTGAGTTTATGACCCTGGGTTTCATGCTATTTGCGATCGTCAAACAAACTGATTAATTTTTAAATCTTGGATTTATATGTGATTGCGTATATCGGTGTTTTTATGGTAGTGGGAGTAAAAATTGTCGTCGGAACGCCACTCATATTTACGCAAACATACATACACGCAAGTTCACTCATTGACGTAGGTAGACATACATAGACGCAAGCTTATTCATTGGAGCTCACACAATCATAAACATATGTGAACAGTGTGGGACTGGGCATATATGCGCATCCATGTGTCGTTGCGTACATACGTACGCAATTGGTTGCTGTATTCAATGTTGGATTGTGTAGCGAATATCTGTCGCCAGTTGCAGTGTCAACGCGCAGACCGTTCGTCTATTTTGTTCACCGAATAATGTTTTCTCGCACACACGTATATACTTATGATGGGGTCTGTGTAGGACTATGGTAGGTAAAATTGTTATCATTTTTAATTTTTTAATGCTGTTTTGTTATTATTTTAAAGCCGGTTATTTGCTTGTTTTTGGCGATGGCGCATATGTAAATGGTAGAAACTCCAATTTGTAATACTTATTAGTATTTATGCGGTGGTAATATATATATATATATATATATATATATATATATATATATATCGCGATTACAAATCCTTTAGGGATTTCAACAAAGGAACAATTGCAGCAAAAAAAAATGTTTCCTGGGCAAGATATCGTCGGACCCCAACCCTCTCCAGTCCGGTTTGAATTAAGAGTTTTCCTTCTCCTAGACAGGTTGCCACCCAAGGCTATAGAACCCAGTCTCTCATGCTATTTACCCATAGCTAAGCAAAGGATCCATACCTTTCCCAAGAAGAAGAGGAACATAACGGAATATAGTTTACAAAAAGTCTGTATTTATAGCTGAAGCAATCTCACAATTCACTTGATTTTCTTTTCGAAAATTATAATTTTAAACCGAAGAAATCACCAAACATTATCATGATTAAGTACGAACAGACCGTAAAAATTAGTGAACGAAAGAATTCTTCAGCAGACAACAAATACCTTGGCCCTATTTCATATCTTGATAGCCATATTTATGACACATAAAATGAAAACTATAGGAATATTAATTTCTGTAAACTATAGGAATATTCCTTCTCAGTT